CACAAAAAATCCTCAACATGGTAATTACTAAAATAAAAATGAATTGCAAGCAGTCTCTGAATTGTAAACATTCATTACTGAAAGAGTTATCACAGGGAAAAAGGTGTCTCCACTGAAGCTTTCTCGCCAATCCTTGTTTCCACATCAAGCCAAAGTTTTCAAAATCCAATTATCAGAGGGACAGAAAGTGAGGTGAAATATTTTGAACAGGAGCACAGACAGCAAAACAAACTAGAAAGGGATGTTAACCCTTCCCTAGGCTATCCAAAGCTAATATATGCTGGAGTTACACTTTAAAAAGTACCTGTAACGACTTACATACAAATTCAACACCTATCTTGTTCATAAATTGGGGATCGGCTGTATTTGGACAGAAACAAGTTCATACTATTGAATTTTAATGAGTTAGGTTAGCTGCACATTGGTAGGTTTAGTTTACATTGATAATATTGAACACTTTAATTGTGTGTTATCAAATACATTAAATAGTTTATAAAGTAGTTTATAAATTGTAGACAGAATTAATCACAGTTAAATAGTAAACTATTTCTTCAAAGCACTGGCATCAGAAGTCTGATCTGAATTGGTCTTTGAAAGATCAACTTGAATGTGGGCATTCTTTTCTGTTTTTCTTCAGAAGTTTGCGGCACCCACTAGGTACACAAGTGTATCTTGGATCTGAGTTTTGTATATGTATACAGTATGGAGAGGGATGGTTCTGAAATCCTATAGATTTCATAGTTCCTACCATTTTAAGTGAATAAAAATTTGTCTTAAAATTATTTTGCCCACTCTAGAAGAGAAAATGCTTTTCTTCCCTTTGCTCCTGTGAGACCCATAGAATCTCAGTTTCCCCCCCAGTGGTCCCCCCCCCCAGAGTTGTCTAAAGTAAGTTTTGAGTAGTTTCATATCTAAACAGTGAATAGGATTAAAGGGAAAGCTATTCACATTCTCTTTCTGAAGGTCAAAACACTGTAGCTCCCATTTTTTATTATTGCTTTTAAGAAATATTTCCTAATTCCCATGAGTCAGTGGGTTTTAATGGTCTGTTCTATTGGTTATTTACTTGGAAATAAACCTTAAGTGTAAAATCCGTGCTTATTGATTATTTGATGGATGGTTTTGCAGATCAAGCTTCTGTATGTCTGCTCTCAAGAGAAGGATGTTCAGGTCAAAATACCTGACATTCAAAGGGAATTGAACTTATCTTAAGAACTGTATTGTCCAAATAGGACTAAAATATGGTTACTGCATAAAATTGCCATTCAGGGTGTGAGTATGCAAAAACATTTTCATCTTTAATCTTAAAATTATAATATGTAAATAAATAGTTTAATTTTTTGTCCTTTTCATTAAATTGTTACATGGTTATGTTAGAATCTGTATACATTTTAGTGTTTAAAATTCTTTCATACACCAGCTCTAGCCTTTTTGTTATTTTGAAATTACTTTAGCTACAAACTTCTTACTGGCTCTTATGGGTAATTTATATGATTACTTTACTTAAGAACATGAATATCTTGGAACATAACAATAGGACATGGAATCGATAGAGATCTGTCATAGAGCATGAATCATAAGAGATTCCAATAAGATACAGGCTTAAAAGACGTCAGGGTAATACTTCTGCTTTTCTCCGGAAGACTTTGTGGTAAATCTATAGTGTGTTGACTGACATTCTGTCATAGTTACTGGTAGTGTAAAAATATGCAATTTATATACGTTGACCACATTGTTCATTTATATTTATGCAAAATCCAAGAAAGATAATCTAAAACTATTTTAAACTACTAGAGCTTAAGTAGAGAGCTTAGTTTAGAAAGCTCCTGTTATACTTAACCAAGATTCTGCTTAGGGTATGCATCAGTTTTACTATGAGGCTATTTGAAGTGAAGTGACAGGAAGGAAGTGAAATGCATTAGCAAATGATATGGCTTTAAAGACAAGGCATTCAGATGCTGCTTTAGTGAGAAGCTCTAAATCAGGGCTAAACAACTGAGAGAACATTTTGGATCTCTTCCCAGTCTGCTAGGGATTACCATCGTAAATCATTTGCCAGTTTATAGATGACACCAATCACACTGTACACTCTTTAATAGTAGGTAATTTATGAATATGTGAAATGGTATGACTTGTTATTTGTCTAATCCACTTTTAATTACATAGTTGTTGATCATAGGATAGTTGTTGATCATGGGATCATTTTTTGTTCATTATTACATAATCTCAAGGTGTGTGTGTGTGTGGGGGGGGGGTGTTAAACTAGAGGGCCCTTTTTTTGAGGAAAGAAAAGCTATTATTAGGCCATTTTTTCCTAGATATTTGTTTGCTCACTTAGAGCACTGGGGAAGCTATACTGAATCACTTTGGCAAAAGTTTTCCCACATATTCATATATAAGTCTAGAAAGCTGGGTTGACTTATCCACAGGTCAACGTCAGTGTAGTACCTTCAATTTATATATATATAAAAAGGTAACAATTAGTCTTGTGCATTTTTACAGAATCACTATCCGTTTCAGTTTGTTTAATTTGTAAGGCCCCATTTTCATTTGTGAGCATCTCTCCTGAATGACCTTTTTTTGACCAAGGTCCAAAACCCCCGAATATTTTTGGCCCATTGGTGGCAAAGCACCAGTGCCTGCCAGGGCCTACAGTCATGCACCGAGCAAGAGGCGCTCGGCTGTAGGCCCTGCCGGGCACACTCAGCTGAGCGTGCCAGGCGCTCACCGTGTTCGGCTGTAGGCCCTGGTAGGGCCTACACCTGAGCTCTGAAAATCAACTGACCAAACAGTTACCATTTCCACTTGCCTTTTGTTTCACCAATATTTCCATACAGTAGGGGGGTGTATTGTTTCATACCATCTGAGTGAACAGGACAAAATGAAAACACAAAATAAACAAATGAGACATATATCTGGCCCATGATGAATAACTATACCGTTCTCTGTTTTGAGTGGCTAAAGTCGAGGGCTTAGTTAGACTGTCCTGGCATAACCTTAAAAAAACACCAATCCTCTCCCTGCCACTGGCTTTTTTGAATGTCTGGGTGAACAAAAGACAGCCCTCCTAAGACAGCATTGGTATTTTCCCCTCTATGCAGAATGATTCTTGACTTATCCACAGCTCATATCAAAATCCACAAATTTGACTCCCAAACCCATCTTCGACATACATGAGATTGGCTTGTACAGGAGGATATACTGACACTAAGAAGGCATTCCTTACCTACAATAATATAAGATTAGATCAGGCATGGGCAAACTTTTTAGAAAGGGGCAGCCTCACCGGGAGGGGGGCAAGGGCTGGTGTGGTGGGGTGTGGGTGGTGGTGGTGGAGGGGCAGTTGGTGTCGGGAGGAGGGTATCACAGGCAGTTGCACAGGGCTCTCAGGTGTGTCTGCAGGGTGCTGCTCTTTTCAGGCAGATATGGCGACCCACCATATCCTCCACTGAACTAAAGGGCTCACTCAGAAGAGCCCTTCACAGCCACATGTGACTGGGAGGGCTGGGACCTGGGCTTTGGCACACAGCTGTGGTCCAGGCCGGGGCCAGAGGTAAGAGCCCAAAGTGCTGCCTCCTGCCCGTGGGCCTGAGTTTGGCCATGCCTGGGTTAGATGATTAGTAAATTCTTTTCCTACCACCATTTTGTGGAAATTTTTGAATTGGTAAATTACATTTTCCAGTTCCATAAATGTTGATATATGATTTAACATTTTTGTGCAATTGATATATTTAATAATGCAAATTTTTATATCATGTCACCCTAAATTTTACATTTTACATTGGAGTTACAAAAATAATTTAAAGGTTCTTAAAATGTTTTTAATGTGAATACCATATCCTATTTACATGTTACCTTATAGTGCTGTCACCTTGCTGATGGAAGAGGTTCCGCTTGATGTGATAATTCCTATAATATGGTCAAACAAATATTTAATTGCGTTTTTAATATTGTGCAATTTTGTAATCAATATGTTATATTTCAAATGGTATGATTGTGACAATTTTGAATATGAATGTTTTTACTGTGCTATTTTAATATTTAATCTATGCGTCTGCTGACTGTAAGAAAGGTTATTGTTTTTGTTGCTTCTGTTGGTGGAATAGGGAGGGGAATGATTCTTTGCACGCAGTACACACCCTCAAAACCTAGCCAAGAACGTGTAGCAAATGTGAAGCTTCCTTTTCCATAATTTATACTGTATTTTATACTTTCTTGTTGTATATTCCAATAAAGGCCTATTGGATTGGACCTAACCAAGACGGCTGGGAAATGCTCTATAGTACACTGTTGGGTTGCAGAAGGTGGAGGGAGTATTGTCGTGTTAGTTGATGTCTATTGTGAAATTAAATGCACTATATAGACTCATGTATCCCTCAATCTCATGTATAAGTAAAAGGAAGGTTTTGGGGACAAAATTATGGATTTTCATATAACCCATGGATAAATTGAGAGTTGTTCTATGGAGAGGGGGAAAGAACCAATTCTACCCCTAGCTGCTGCCACTATTTCCCTGTCCTGTCATCATTTTTAAAAAAAGACCAGAAGTGGCACCATGGCAGAGACAGTAGAAGAGATTGGTGCTTCTTTTAGGTTCTCTAGAGTTTGACCAAGCTCTTGCATGTTGCCATTCTACTCAAATATGAGAATGGTGCTTTTTTTGCTAAATTAATGTACAGTACTCACATTGACCTATGGATTAGTTGATGGAGGTTTATGGAGTTGGTTTTATGATTTATGCATGAATATATAAGGTCATTTGGTAATCTTAAATATTTCCATACTCTGTGAGTTTATATATATATATGCATGCAAAGCATTAGTTCAGATTTCAAACCTAGTAGCTTTATTTTTTCAATATCTATATGCGTATGCATCCTCTATTGGGAGAAAGATAGGAGATAAAATTGATAGTATTCCAGCTAAACCCAAAGGTATGAGAAATAGTAGTGCCCAGGGACTGTCTGGCATTGTTTTTAAACAAGTATTCCTTTTAACAGGTGAAAATCGGTAGCCAGAATTGGGGAGATCCCATGCACTGACTATGTCCAGACGGAAGTCTGAGAACAAAAGCCTTCCAGGCTTGTTGCCTGCATCCCTTCAAACACAAATAAAGACAGAGAACTTTCACAGTTTCTACGAAGTAGAACCAAAAGAACTGGGAAGGTAAGAATGTTTGTTGGTTTTTAAAATAGATACTTTCATTTATTTGAATGTATAGAATAATTTATGTAATATAAATTGTAACTTGAACATTGTGACTCAATTTAAAAAGGAAGTCCCCAGTCTTGTTTGGTTGAGGAAAACAAAACACACAGAATACAAAACACATTTAGAAGCCTTTTCCATGCTGACTTAGCTTCCAGAACATCTGCTTTTTGTTGCCTCCTATATCTCAACTGGAAGTAGGTTTCTCCAGTTGTTTGCTTTTGGTATGGCTCCTTTTCATTTCACCCACAGACTGGAATCCTGTACAAGAATAGTTTGTGAAGAGCTGAGATATGTGGCTTGGAGAGGGAATATTGCAACTATATTCCAATTTTATTACATCTATGAAGCTGGTCTGTTGTTTTGGATGCAGGATCTATCTATCTCTGAAAATAACCAGGCTCCATTTACACAGCGTCATTGAAAGATTCCTCAGTTTTCCATGCATTGTGGAGAACTTGAAATGGGAAGAGTCTCTAATTTCTTCCTCTGTGGGAAAGATAGGCCCTTCCAAGTTCCTTGGCATGTGCAGTGAACACATGGGGAGAGATGGAATGAATCTCATACTTCATGTCTGACTTTGAAGACTCTTGAAAATAACAGGTTCTCACAGCTCCAGGATGCTTCTAAAGCCTGTTAGGGAGGAAGGCGTAAGCCACTCCCAACTCTTCTATGTGGATTAAAAGGCTCTGGAGAAATATGGATCATTAGTTATTTCAAAATGCTGTAAATGTAATTGTGGTGTGGTATTCAAAAATTACCTCAAATTAGCATCCATTCTCAGCAGGTTTGTCTTTCATTGTGAGGATGTGTCTGTCATCCATTTGTTGTTCCAGATCAGTTAAGACATAATAAAATACAGGTTGAGCATCCCTTTTCGGGAATTCTGAAAAAAAATCCAGAATTGCCTACATGGATTTGATTTCTGATGGTTCAATGTACACACTTGGTTTCATGCACTAAATTATTACCCACATTGTATAAAATTACATAAAGTCTATGTGTATAGGGGCTTTATATGAAACATAAATGAATTTTGTGTTTAGGCTCGATTCCCATCTCATTATGCATGTATATGCAAATGCAAGTATTAAAAAATACATAAATTCCCTCCTTGAAATCTAGAACACTTCTGGTTCCAAGAATTTCAAATAAGGGATACTCAACCTGCAGATTTTATTGTTGAGCGAATGGTGTTTTGGTTTGCACTATGACTGGTAACCAGTCAGCCATAGAAGCCCACTGGATGTCCACATAGACCACTGAGAGAGTGTAAATTGCTCTCTCAGCCTTAAAGGAAGGCAAACCAAAATTACCTCTGAACAAAGCTTGCCAAGAAAACATTTAGGGTCACCATAAGTCGGAAACGAGTTAAAGCACACAAGAAATGATGAAATTTCCTCATACGAGAGTATGTAAGGGAATGATTGCAAAATAGTGTGCTCTTTTAATATAGCACTGTAATATATATATTATATATATATAATATATATATGCAGGGTCAGTGAAACAAAAATATAGAAAGTTGTCCAATGTTATTGAGTTTTCAAGAAAGAGACTTGAAATTGAAGTATTTTAACTTTATTTCATTTTGAAAACATATTAGTTTTTGTGGAAGTTATGGTGCTGACTGTGGCTTGCTTACCTGGGTGCTGTGAGCATTCCAGCTGCCCAGGGAACAAGTTGTCAATATACATGCAACAACACTTTTATGAGGGATAGTCATCAGTCTGGCTGGAAATGAAGCATCACAAAGAAACGTGTATTATGAAATGAATGTGTGGATTGGACTGGAAAGATGTCTTGGGAGGTAGGCAGATTTAGGATGTGTAGTGACTAAATTTCACTCTTTAATATGAGACATAGATTTATAGCTTGAGCTTCAATTTTCTCATTCATTCTCACACATACATTTGTTGGATCAAATCCAAAGTGAGCTGAGTAAGACTGCAGCCCCCTGCACTTTTTGAAAAGCATGCCACTCATGTTAAATGCTTTTATCTTCCTTTGCCCATTGTTCTAATACCATATCCCATATTGCTGTAGATTGCCTATGAAAGAGTGAGGAGGAAGGGACAGTCATTCCTGTGGGGCAGGGCAAGTGGCTGTCTATTTTGATCAATCAATTGCTTTATCCATCACCTTATTCCCAAGGCTCAAGGCAGCTTATGATTTAACAAAATACAAATAAAGCCACATATAACCAACAATATATGTAGTCTCCAAATCCAAATAGTATTAAACAATAGTATTTAACTGTTTTCTATTTCAAGCCGTGTGTATGTTTCAAGTTCTATCATGTGGATGATTTACTGCTTTTACAGCTAATTTAAACAATCTTCCTGCCGTTGAGTTGGTTTTATATGTCATTCTGCCTTTCTGGCTCCACACAAGCTTTTTTAAACTTTCTTATTTTATTGATTATGATGTGTGTCTCACTTTCTAATGAGTCTACTAGGCCCACCTTTTTAGTAGAAACATCTTCTTGATCCTAGGCTTTTGTTGATGATGCCTCCTGCAAAATCCATGTGAGATTTGGGGGCGGGGGGGCGGGAATCATTCAATGTGAGAACTCAGCAACCCCAAGTTTTGCTTACCAATGAGCAAACTGAGAATCAGTTCTGTTTTATATCCATGACCACTTGTGCAGGACTAATACTCGTGTTCTTCATGCATGATTTTTGTCATGTTTGATGTATACGGACAGTAGAGATTGCAGAGATGAACATGGGCCCGACTAGGTCAGAGACATCTCCAGCCAAAGGACAAAAGGATATAGTGTGAGGACTGTATATTCACTGGCTGTAATTTAGGATCTTGAGAATGGATATTCCAGATACTATAATCAGTCCTTTGATAAAATGTGTAGTAGTTATGTAAATGACCTGAAGAAAAGTATACGTAGCATGTGTTATGCTATGTTCATGGAACTGAAGGATGTTCTTTCTTTAAATAGTGCAAAGAAATCTCATAGTAATTTTGTACCAATGAGTGAGAAAAGTAAGGCGGTGGTTCTTGCATAAGTTGCATTTTGGCTTTATTGTGTAGAGAATTTGGCTTATTTACTCTTAGCATTTGTAGGAACGTGATAATTCACATTCATGGTATGGGGGCGGGGGGAGAATTTAATTTATGGTTCCTGGGGGATTGCTCAGCCTTTTCTGTTTGCATTTCATTGCACAATTCATGTGCTAATTTTGAAATGAGGCACCCTTTGTCTTGTTACATTCATTGTGTATTTTCGTGAAAAATTCTTCTCCTAATTGCTTTATAATAGTGTCCCAAGGGAACTATTCCAGATTTTTAAAGGAAACAAAACAGTAATTTTCTACCAAGTTTTTTTGAGAGTAGCACATCATTTTACTTATAAGCATTCTAGTTCAGTGTTAAGTATAACAGCATCTTACAAAATGAATACCAGTAGATCTTTCTATTTGAAAGAGATTTTAGAGAAATTATGTGCTTGTGGGTTTTTCATATTTTAAATTCTTTAACATCTTTTTTCACAAATACATATGTGTAAATTTTGCAATGTATCACTTTCAGATGTTGAACTAGGAACATTTTCTAAAAGAGTACCGTCATGTTGTTGAGCCCCACGGTTAATATTAAAATTGGTTTGTAGGATAGTATTCTTAGTAGCTGATCCATTGAACTGGTCCCCTTCCTGCAAAGCATTTGATAACTTCCTTATTTAAGGAGGGTGATTATTAGAATGGCATCAGGAATATTGCAATTAAGCCTATATTAACATGTTCATGTGATTTTTTAAAAAAATGAGTGTTGAACCTTTAGAAAAATTGTAGTTCAGGCATTTAAAAAGTACAGAAACAAGCTTTTTCTTCACATATAATATATACTTTTCATTTCAGAATCTTCCAAGTTTTTAAAGACCTGACTCAGTTCCCAGAATCACTTTACTGTTATTTTTCTGGTTATACATATTCACATTAACATCAGAATCTAAATCCTAGTTTATTGGCATTTATAACTTGGCTTGCTGCAGAATACATTTTTCTTTACTTCTCAAAAGGTCAGCTTGGTTTTTAAGCAGTGTGTGGTTTCCTTCTGAAAACACAAGCTTACCAAAATGCATTTTTGGTTCTACAGTTAAACAGTCAGTAAGGAAACAACATTTGCATGGCCTGTTTTTTTGCTTGCAGTTTAAAATGAGCTTTTGTTTGAAGATTTGGAGCTCTGCTTTTGTGTTTAAATTTGAATATCCTCTGTGTGTGTACTTGTAGGCAAACACACTTTTCTTAGCTTTGCTCATTTGCTGCATAGATGCAAGTGCACAGCTTCAACCACTTTACATCATTTCACCTTTGGTTTGTAAGCAGTTCCTTCCTTTGTGTTTCTAGTCTGGCAGTACAGCATAGAACCATTACATATATTGTTAAATGTAGTACTATTTTGAAAGTTGTCATCTGCTTTAGTATTAATCCAAATTTAACCAGTTGAAACCTAAGAGATAATAATTAGTCTCACCTTAAAATGGCTTAATTCATCCAAACCTAGTTTAAGAGCCTTTCCTTTTGTAATAATGTCACAATTTGAGTGTGCATCTACACTGTAGAATTAATACAGCTTGACAACACTTTAACTGTCATGACCCAATGCTATAGAAAATCATGGGAGTTTATTTTTTACAAGTCTTTAGCCTTCTCTGCCAAAGAGTGTTGGTTCCTCATCAAACTACAGCTCCCAGGATTGTATAATATTGAGCCATGGCAGTTAAGGTGATGTTAAACTGTATTAATTTTACAGTGTAGAGATACGCTCTAAGCCTGAAGTAGTTAAAGGAGGAATTTTAAAAAGAAATGTGCAGTTTTCATGAGAATCATAAAAATCTTACTTGCGCTATTAAACAAGCTTGCTGTGTCATAGACTTGAGTGAAGCTTCATTAAATGCACACTTAAGACTTGAAAAGATCGCCTATTTAGTGTTCTTAAATAGAGAAGTATTTTTTAACTTTGAAACGTAATTTGCTCTCCATTTCAAATTTACTAAACAGATTGCCACCATTTTAATATATGTTCAGCATAGTTTTCAATGCATGAATTTTAATATAAAAATTGCTTTGAATATGATATTGAGAAATCGGGCCACAAATCAGCTTCATTGGGACATACAGTGAGCGTGCACACCTTTGTCCTATAATAAACCCTCTCATGAATTTTTTTTGGAATGTTGTAATATACTTGAACCCCAGGGTATAATCTCTCTAATTTCCAGTGAACTGGGAGACATGAGGGCAGAACATAATAAATTTGCATCAGAGCTGTTGGTTCTGTTTCCTGTTCTTTCCTGATATGATTGAGCCTATCTGGGGGTATGATCCATCTCCCATGCCCCTAGCCAGCTCCACCCATGCAGCACCCATTGACATGGTCATCATCTTCAAGTACCTATTGTGTACTTTGAATTAACTACATTGTTTCCACCAGAGTCCAAACAATAAGCTCATCAGGTTCTTGTGGGGTTTTTCGGGCTATAGAGCCATGTTCTAGAGGCATTTCTCCTGACGTTTCGCCTGCATCTATGGCAAGCATCCTCAAGGATGCTTGCCATAGATGCAGGCGAAACGTCAGGAGAAATGCCTCTAGAACATGGCTCTATAGCCCGAAAAAACCCACAAGAACCTAGTGATTCCAGTCATGAAAGCCTTCGACAATACAATAAGCTCATCATCAGTCCATGGCCCAATACTACACCACATTCCTTTCCAATCACACCTTTCTCAGAGATGGATCAATAAACGGACTGATTCTTCAAATGCTTCAATGACAGCATATTAAATTTCCCACAACCATGAGAGCCAACCAGCAATGACGGCAGATGGAGCTCTTAGCCAATTACAACGTGGATCATAGCTGGGCAGTTCCTGAACCAATCAGGAGCAAGTGCGGGTTTCATGAATAACCAATACAGAGCAGTTGCTCTCTCTGAAGACATATACTTTTACCATTGAGCATAAACCTGAATTTACCTTTTACCCATCTGCATCTGATTTGGTCTTCTGAGAAGCTAGACATATTGGGCCCTCGAACCCACAATTTAGGCAGAGCTAAAATTACTCAACAGTTATTTTTGCCAGTTTTTTCTTAATTAAGAATGTTTGCTTCAAGAATTCTTAAAAATAATGATTTCCTGAATATAGTATGGAACCAAACATCTGCTACATATAGTATTGAAGGTTTAGAGAATTAGCTCCCAATCTTTCAAATCTTATATCTGAACTTAGATTCAATATGTGTGATAAATGAATGTGTAGTTATTAATATTTCCTATATAACTTAAGTTGTTTCTGGGATTCAGTGTGTTTTGGGGTGTTGATTGGAGTTGTGGTTAGATATGCCTGTTACATATTTGTTAGTAATGTCACAAAATTCCCAAGTTTCTGCAATGAAGCTACTGCACATCTTTGACATTAATGTCAGATTCTGAGGTTTATTGAGAGAAGAAGTGGAAATTGTTCAAGATATTAATACCTTGTTTTATGTTTGTTGAAACTTTGACCAGAGCTTTGTTTTCTTTCTACATCTTGGATATGCTAGACTCTATTCAATCCCAGTGGCCATGGGGATGTTATTTGATTGAGTTTTTATAGTCCAACATATTTGGTTTGATCTTGGTTCAGGAAGGCTGGTCTAGATCACTGTTTCTTGGATTATTTGATGTGAAGGATCAGCTATTCATTTTTTCCAGTATGCCAAGCATCACCAGCCAAAGGTTCAGAGGACTGGCAGTGATCCAGAACTACCATTTTGAGCCTAAATAACTTCTTCTTGAACTCTGGGCCCTGACTCCAAAAGAGATCCCCTTACTTAATGTTGGGGTTCCGAAAATCTGGCAAAGGTTTTGTGAACATCACCTAGTGGCTGTTTTTGGCATTTACACAAATCTGTTGAAACATTTAAGTGTGTCTGTTTTTAATCGTAAAAAGTCTCCTTTTTTTTGGTACTGTGGAATCTCACAAATTACTTTTTTTTATTTTACAGGGGAAAATTTGCTGTTGTTAGAAAATGTATTGCAAAATCCTCAGGCCAAGAATATGCAGCTAAGTTTCTGAAGAAGAGGAGAAGAGGCCAAGACTGCAAAGCTGAGATCCTGCATGAAATTGCTGTTCTAGAAGTAACAAAGCTGAGTCCCCGTGTAGTAAATCTCCATGAAGTTTATGAAACAACAAATGAAATCATCTTAGTATTAGAATAGTAAGTATACATTACGTCATCTTCACTGTTTTTGGTGGACCTATTCACATATTTGTTGTATGCATCAGTCAACCTAACATAACCAGAAAGACGGCCTTAGTGAACTTGCATGTCTTACATTTTATTTTATTTAGCTCTTGGTTCTGTGTTCTTTTGTTAGAATACTCCATGCTTCTATCTGCAGTGCTTTTGATCTATGCACTGTTCTTTATTGAATGATTGGTAAATCATTATTTTTAAAATGTTTAGTGGTAGCTTAAGTATGAAATATGCTAATTCGCCTTCCATGTTGGTTGATTTGTGTTGATTTCTTGCAGAAAAAAATTGAATAAAATTGATTTGCTATCATAAGATAATTTTTAAAAAAACTTAAGAACAGCTTTGGAGTTGTGTCTATCTTTAGCTAGGTGAGTCGTGAGAGGTTGTGTTCTATTCAGTTGCATTTCAGTGATGTGATGATAGATATCAGATGATTCTTATTTGAAGAGTGAAATTTGAGTGTCTGAACTATGGTCATGGGTCTTAACTTGACTGAATGATCCCAACCAGCAATCTTTTTGAGCCAGTTTCTCACAATATTCAGGATGGCTATGTATTGCCACCAGACTGAGAGGCTGTAATTGGATGTTAAAGTTAGGAGCTTGAATCCTGCTGGCAGATTTCCCATAAACTGGAAAAATCTGTTTTTGCCTGATTTAGCTGGGTTCTTCTTATGTTTATTGTATGTTTACTTCACTGTTTTTGTATACAGTACTAGAATGGTGAACCAGTGTTGTATATTTCCCAAATTGTTTCAGTTGCACACCTTTTGCTTTATTCTGCTCTACCAACAGCTCTGTTCTAGTTCTAGCCTATGAAAATTTCTGCACTATTTTTGTAACTGGGATTCAGTTTACTCTCAATAGTTTTACAACTCTCATAATTTATCCATCTTGCCAGTGGTATAAACAAGTTCTTTGTTAATTTAAGAGTGGTGATAATGTGAATAAATCTTTGAATATTGGCTTCTTGCATGACCTTCCTAATTATCACAATTCATGTGTATCATTTCTCATATTGTGTGAAATGCTGCAGTTTTCAACAAGTTATACACTCAAGGAAGTAGCCTTCCAATTAATTTCATTTCATTTTGAAGTACAGTAATAGATCAGTTCCTGCAAGTTTCATATCAAAAGTAAGTTTTCAGATGTTTCTTAGTGATGTGAATCAAGACTACTTATTGTGAAAATTATCAAAAACTGTCATCCACACCACCTTTTCGTGTCAGCTTAATTAGCTCTATTACAGTGTCACATACTTGGCATTGAGTTGTTCCTTGTTGCACATCTGAGTGTTTCTGCTTTTATTTCTGTCTTTGCAGGCTTAATAGATTTTGTTGAGATAACATTATAAGCATAGTTTTATTGTAAAATAAATGTTTAGCTTCTTGCCTTTGAATGCTATTGGAACTCCTTAAAAATAATGTGTAATAACCTTGATCTTCTAAATTTTGAAAAAGCCTGCTTTGTAAAAAAAAAATGATTAAACCACTTCCCAGTAAGTCTGTAGAAGGATTTCTGTATCTCAGCTTCATCAGCAGAAGGAGGTTATCAGAGAAGATGAAAGTGCAAGGACAGAATTGGGCAACTTTTAAAGGTCTAAGGGTCATATCTGCCTACCCAAATTGTGAAGTATCCTGCCCCAATTCTTTTTGTACCCCCCACCCCTTTTTTACCACACGCATTTGTGGGTTCTGGAGTTTGCAGTTAGCTATGTTGTATCATTTTTTCTTGCAACCTAGCTGCGCTGTCCATGGGGGGTATTAAACAGAAGCAAAATTAAGAAGTAAATAGATGTCTGGTGACTTGCACTTTATCCATTCATGTGCTAGAAATTTTAAGTGAGCTTTCAATGCACTGTTGCCTGCTGTTTCTTGATTCTCCTGAGTTATGTGATAAGTAGCTATAATAGTAAGCCAGTACATTTAATATGCTTTTTACTGCAGTAACACTTGTAGCCATAACCATAAAACAACAATCTCTAAGATTTCTGCATGAAATGGGCTACTGGATGGGATTCTGTAAAATGCTCAGCATCACTCTGCTTTACCTGGTTCTTCACAGTTTTTCTGCACTGAAATATAACCTAACAGTAGATTCTGTGGATCTGAAGGAATGATTTCTATGGAAAGTACTTGGACCCCTGTTGGAGGTGACTAAATCCAACTTAAAAATTCTACCCATCCCACAAAATTGAATAAAATACAGGACTCTGGTTACATACAGAGATTGGAGGAGGGGGGCATGTTGTGGTTTTTCACTGGAAGAGCTTGAAACAACTAACCGGTGCTTAGCATCTGTACAAATGGCAGAAGCAGCTATCAAGTGCTGAGATTACATTTATGTGAGAAGAAGCAGAGTTGCTACTTTTTGCCCAAAACGAAAACCTTCTATCTCTCTGTAACTTTACTCCAGGGTCTGAATTCTAATTTAGCAAAAGTCACCCATATTCCAGCAGTGGGCAAAGTTATAGGCATTAGGCAGAATCAGAGCAAAGTGGAAGGACAGTCAGTTTTTAGCAATTTGGACATTTTCCTACCAAGCAAATGAAACAGAACAGAATTATACAATAATACAAAACTTTATTACTGTCACTGACGAGCACAAAGCAGGGCACAAGCAGAATTATGTGCATCTTTGCTTAGGAACAAGCCATATCACAAGAAATTTCAAACCTGCAACATGTATCTTCAGGTACCATGGAGCATCCTCATAACATGAATATGTGGTCACAGTCTTAGCACAAATAGTTGTATTTGAATGAAGAACTTTCAAAGGGGTTGTGAAAATACAGCTTTCTCAACCAACATGTGCAAGCACTTTAGTGTTTACATCTTAAGATGTCATGGAATAAATTTGGTCAATGTAATATCTGTGGTTCTGGCATATATTTTGTTTTCATCTTGTTTCCAAAATCAAGTGTATGTTAAATATAACTCAATAAGATGGATTTAACAAAAGTAGGAGGCTAAAGTACCAACATTTAAATGCATTCTGGCTACATTTTTAGCATATCTTGAAAAGTTGTGGTGAATAAAGTAGATATTCTTTTTGTAGTTTAAAGTCAAAATTCTTTTCTTTCTTTTTTTAAAGACGTATGTGGACTGTCGTTCAGAATAAAATACTTTTAGATTGTCTCAGAGAATTAAAGGTGCTTTTCCTTGAAAATGCAGAGAAGATAAATCTATCTTAATGTTGGGTACTTTATCTGTTTTCTGGAACATGACATGTTGTTTCTGTTGGTTTGGAAGACCTCATTACTTTTGAAATAAAATATCCATTTCCTCTGCAGTCAGTAACATGCTGTGCTGAGATTTCAGTTCCCACTAAAACCTATTCCTTTGTTTTCTGGTATCTGCTGGCATCCTAGAGAGGGATGCCATTTAACTGAGCTCACAAATGTGAGGCTTGCATATGGTTTTGTGTGTAATCCACATTACTTTTTTCTCTTTGAAAGAATTTACTGCTGGAGGGGCAGAAAAACCTAAACCTGAGTGATTGTTTCACCTTTTCCTGCAGTTCTTTCTAACTTCACTCAAAAGAGTGCTTGACCATTTGTCTAAATCAAACTGTTTTGAAACTTGAACACGATGATTTATGTGAATTATCTCTTAGCTACACCTGATCTCTGAAGTCAGAGGCCTTCCTGATTGAGAATTAGGCAATTAAAATTATGTGTGTATTTTTTTCCAGTGCTGCTGGAGGAGAAATCTTTAATTTATGTCTAGACGATGTAGAAGAAGCCATTCATGAAACTGATATTATTAGGCTTATACGACAAATACTGGAAGGCATTTGTTACCTGCATCAGAACAACATTGTACATCTTGATTTAAAGGTAATGTTACATATGAGTCCTAAATGTTTTGTCCACAGTCACACTGATACTCAACTATTCAATGAGAAAAAAGTATACGCTCTATAAAATGTTGACACAATTGCTGAAATATTAATGTCTAGTGGTGTGCCTTTTACAGTAACTGTTTAAATTAGAGCAATATGCCCATTGCTGGAGCATGATGAGAGTTACAGACCAGCAATGCAACAAGATGCGACCTTTACCTTCATGAAATTAGATGAGACAGTGTAATTCACTCCTAATTATATTATTTGACACATGGATTTTATAACAGTGTTACACTGGTTGTTATGGTTTGTGCAGTACATAGATAAGTGAGCATATATGTAAGCAGGGGTCAACAAAGTGATATCATGTGTCAATGCTTATTTTCTACTGGCCATCTACTGGAATTATTTTACGCTAGCCAGTTCCACAATAATTATATGCGTTTTCTGTCTCCACTGCACAGGAGGGAAGTTTCTTTTGTCTCTAACTGCTTACATAATCTTGTACTGTTACGTTGCCCTTTTGTGGGAGGTTACAGTAACAGGCATATAGTTCCTTTTTCTAGAAATTCCTAATACAGATATCTCTTCTCTAGTACTAAAGGGGGGGGGGGGAGAGAGAGAGAGAGAGAGAGAGAGAAAACTAATGTTTGTAGTACAGGAAATACAGCATATTCTTCACATTTGATCCAGCAGAGCAATCTGTTTACAGTAGAAATTAACAGGAATTTACTCAGTGTCGTTTTGGCTGCCAAAACATAGCAGAAGGATGGAGCTAAATATTTTTTGGGGATAGCAGTACTTCAAATGGAAATAGTACAGTTTATCAAGAATAGACTGGCTTTTTGGATTCGGATATTATTCTTCATCATTCAGTTTGACAGAAGTACAGGATAGCTATATGCCTCCATGGCCATAGTATGCTAAAGGCAATTTTATTTTGTTTACCAGGGAAGGTACAGTTCATTTAAAGTGTTCCCTTTAGACTTTGCACTGGTGTCATTTGTATTTATAAAGGTTTTGATGTTTTTGATGGCACACTTGAGAGAAGGGAGGCCATATTATTTTATATTTTGATATACTCCTGAAAGTATCTTCATAATGCAAAGTTTAAAGAGGTCTGGAAACTACTGTAGAATCCCTGTATAGGCATACTTTCATGACAAGAAAAACCAGTTGAAACTCACAAAATGCAAATATGAAGAAAAATCAGACATTTGTTAAGGCTGTAAAATGTGATACAATACACTTAGCGCATGTTCATAGGTTGCTAATATAAATTATATAAATTTTACCATGTGCACATTTTTAAGTGTGTTGGATACACTATTTCATCCTCACCTCACCAAATGGCAATAGTAAACAAAATACACTGCCAACATATGATGTCAGATCCTCTGTGGACATTCCTGCTTGGAACACCAAATACCATTTATCAATCCAAAAAGAGTAACAGTAACAATAGATGCCAGCTTAACAGGCTGGATAGCACATTGTCTAAGTGAGACAGCTCAGGATATATGATCTCCAGAGAAGCCAGACACAACATAAATTGGCTAGACTGAAAAATAGTCTGTTTAGCTATAAAAGCTTTCCAGTATCTAATTTGGAGCGGTCTTGTGCATGTTCATATATGCAACACAACAAGTACAAGTTTATGTAAGCAGGTGGGGGCAAAATCTCTCTTACTATGCATAGAAGCATTCAAATTGCTGAAATGAATAAAAGATCATTTTCATCTTGGAAACTTATGTAAAAGGTGTATTGAATATAGAAGCATAATACTTGACTAGTACCACAGAATTTGTGTAGAATTCCAGAGGTATTTGACTAAGTGAACAACAAAATGGATCCACAAAACCTCAGTGTTCAAGAGCACCAAATAGTCAAGATTTTATTTGCTAGACAGCAACCTAAAGATGGAGGTTTAAGATACCTTGACATCCCCATGTCCCCAAAACAGTGTTTTCATCTACTCGTGCTGTTGACTTTCTGGGGGATTGTGGAATAAAAATCAAAACATATTTAAATATTTTACAACCAGTTAATTGACCAGCAAATTAATATCCATGAATTATTATTGAAAATAATTAATGAAATAAGCAGACAGAAATCAGGATCTGCTAATAATACCTGATTGGTTCCAAAAAGTATATTTTTCGTTATGGATGCAGATCACAATGGATTTGCAGCCATCAACAATTCTTCCACTGAAACCAGGTTTGTTGATCTAGGAGGCCCTTAACTACATCCAAAAGTTGGTTGGCTGTGAATAGCCACTTGACAATTGATCAAAAGTTTCTAGGGACTTGCAAATGATTCATTAATATTAATTTGTTGCTCAACTAAGTGGTTTTAAAGTGTTCAGAAGTTATTTCAAATTTGTTTTTAGACTTTTGGGGTTTTTTTTTGTCATTTTAATTAACTTTAGTAGTTCGGTAGATTTGATGTTTTTAATCATCTTGGTTTTTAGTAATTTTAAAATTTTAAAAATAGCATAATGTTGATGTTCTCTTTTTTGACAGTCAACAAGTTTTTACTGGAGTAATATGAATGCTAATACTAGAGTTGACAATTTGAGGTAGAATCATTATATTTGAGAATATAGAATTATTGCCATTTGGGTTGGGAAAAGCATGTTTCAATAGTTAGCCCATCTCTCCCCCCCCCCCCCCCCAGCTTAAAGGAAGCAAGTGGCTCATATCTTTCTTTCAGAGGCAGTAAATGCTTTTACATTAGACTTTTATACTAGATACACTAATCTCAAGGTTTGAAGTATAATGAGGGATAATGTTCCACACACATCCCCAACTATTTTTTTATTATTTATAAAGCTCCCAGAAGCTTGTAAAAATTCATTTAAGCATATTGTAAATATGAGATATTTTTCCATCTTGGTTTTCTGTCTTTTAAAACAGTTGAATAATTACTGTAAATGTTTCATACTGATTTTGTTACTATTTCCAGTGCATCTATATGATGCTTGGGTTTTATGTGCTTGTGGGCACTTAATTTTTTTAATTGGCATACCCATGTATAAATTGGTGCCATGTATAAGTTGAGGGCAAGTTTTAGATTCAAAGGTATTGATTTTGATATGACCCAAGGATAATTTGAGCATTATTTCACAGAGATGTGAAAGCCAAAGCAACGCTTCAGGGGGCCAACTGCCCCTGCCTGCTGCCCTCATTTCCCTATGCAGGCATTTTAAAAAGCCAAAAATGCATTATGGCAGAGAGAATAGTTGGTGATTCTTGTAGGTTGTTCCAGGACAGACTAATCTCTTGCCTTTTGCCACTGTACTCAGAGAAGGGGGTTGTTCCTTTTATTTATAGATAGGTAGGTAGGTAGGTAGGTAGGTAGATAGATAGATAGATAGATAGATAGATAGATAGATAGATAGATAGAGGAATGAAGGTACAGTACTCATATTAACTCATGGATAAGTTGACACAGTTTTAGGGGGGTTGATTTTTGACTAAAATTTCTAGACTTGTTCAGGCTTAGATAAAATGAATAGAGTTTGGACAGTGATTAACTACAGTGTTAGTGAACTGATGTTAGAGGAGTTCTATCACTATGTATAAGAAATGCATAGCTAAATAAGGCCTTCAATATTGTTGTTTTTCTTTATTGTAGCCCCAGAATATTTTGTTGAGCAGCATTTGTCCCCTTGGCGATATTAAAATAGTGGATTTTGGTATGTCTCGGAAGATTGGCAATTGCTACGAACTGCGGGAAATTGTTGGAACCCCTGAATATCAAGGTAAACCACTATACCCATATGAGCAACATTAACTCCAGGCTCGTGGAGGGAGTTTCCTTTGCTGTCCTGCCTAGCGGAAGAATTACACTATGTAATAAAATTTGAAAAAAATATGTTCCTGGTTTGAAAGTCTTATTTCCTGTTTAATTGTGCAGTGCTTACTTTGAAAGTAGTTATTATCCTCCAGGCTGTCACAAACTATGTTGAATTGGTTGAGGTTCATTGAGATATTCATTGAAAAACTATAGAAAAATGCGCTGCAGGATGTTCCGCAAAAACAAAGTTTTTGCAGTTTAATAAACTCTTTCCATGTTTTATGATAGAACCAATCAGGAAATGATATTTATAATCCAAATTGTGTTACATAGTGTTATCCTCCTTGGGTGTTTTTCCAGCCACTGGCACATTATACAGGAAATTAATTACATTTTTACAACAAAATTTAATGTCTATATATATAAGTTTGCTTGACTGTTGAATTGTTTAGTGCTTGGAAATTAAGAACATAACGAAGGAAGAAATTATAGCAGTGGTGAGAACATGGAGGAACATGCTAGCAGCTATTATAGGAAGGAAATGTGGGTCTGTAGGCTAGGTCAGTCTTACAGTGTATAGATATCCTGAGGTGGATGAGCCTCATGCTTCTTTTTGTGCATGTGTTCCTATGCACATAATGTGCATACATGCACATGTGCATGCGCGCACACACATATATACAGAAAGGAAAAAATATCCCTTGTGATCTACAGTAGCAAAACAATGACTAGATTATGTGAGTTTGTTCCTGTGTTCCTCTGCATCTAAGTGAGTGCTCTCTAATGATTGTTAACTTCATCTCCCTGTGGGGCTAACCACTGGCTCTATTGATTCAGAGTTCAGGGAGTTGTTTGGGAACACTAGTCTAAGCAGTGGAAATTGTGAGGATTATATGAAACATTATTTAAATATTCAGTAAGAGCTATTCTCTGAACGCTTGTAAGCCTGTAGTGTAAAATGGCACGTAACACCTGCAGTAAAGCAGTAGTCCTGAGTATGTCAAAACATGTTGCCAGTTAGGCTCATGAGAGGAGTTCTTTTAAATCTTGATTTAATCGTATTTTTTTCCTCCCAACAGCGCCAGAAGTCTTAAACTACGATCCTATTACTACAGCCACAGATATATGGTAAGACCAATTCTCAGTAGGTTAAAGCAGCATTAGAAACATCAGCAGCTGCAGTTTGAGTTTAAAAGTTTGCTACAATAACTTCTTTTCACTAGAATACATTTTTGGTCCTATTTCTAGCATTGGAGAGCAAGATGGGATCAGTGTGATTAAGACACAATCTGTCTGCTGCTGAATGAGATAGAGATGAAAAGAAGGAATGAAAATGATTGTGAAATTTCCTTTCTTCTCCCACATTTCTCTTTTAACTCGAGAATCTTACAAGAAGTACCTCAGACAGCTCCCTTCCATGCTATCGCTGTTTTAAAATCATAGGGATCTTAACTATTTAGAGCATTTATACTCTGCCCTTCAACCAAAATGGCTCCTAGAGCATTATGTTGTTTTTTAAAATATGACTCTGTCTTGTTTTCCTGCCTTCTTTCCTTGCTTTGGGAATCTTGAGTCCTCTACTGTTTTAATGACTTTAAAAAAAATCTCTTGATAAATTTCGGCAAGTTGCTAGGAAGCTCACTCTTTTGGAATCTTGACTTGTAACTGGCCACTGCAACTTGGACAACAGCGTGCATGGTTAGAATAAAATATGCCTTTTCTAATTTCAGGAGTGTAGGCGTAATTGCATATATGCTGCTGACGCATGAATCTCCATTTGTGGGAGCAGATAAACAAGAAACGTACCTCAATATTTCACAAGGAAATGTGGATTATTCTGAAGAAACCTTTGCTTCAGTTTCACTGTTGGCTAGAGACTTCATTCAAAAGCTACTCATTAAAAATCCTGAGTAAGTAGGTGGTTTGAAGCAAAGAAAACGTAAAACTGCATCCCTACAATATGAATTCCTAAAATAACAAGTAGAAAGTGTAGAGCATAGTTGTATGTATAGACTGGTTATACATTACAAATTAACTCCATGCTTAATTTGGTGTTAAAACACTTAGTTCTCTCATTGGGCAGTTGTAATTGCCTAATAAATAGGTACACAATTGCAATGTCAAAGATCTTGAAAGATCTGGAGTTGGTGTGAGCATTTGTGTGCCTTGTATTACAGCACTTCCTTAGTGCTCATGCTTACTCTTATAGTTCTAAACAACAGCTAAAAGAATGTGACTTCAATATTACTTTATCTGTGCTCCTCTGAGACAGCAAAGTAGGGATTTTTTAAGAAATAAAGGGGAACAGCTATGTAGTTGTTTCAGTAGTGCCACAAGCAATTACTACATGCTGCGATACCTCTGTCTCTCTAACTCACAAATCCAAAACCCCTTGTGCATGTAGAATTTTTGTTTGATCAGTGAATGTAGTTGGTTCCTTATGTGCCCTGGCTTTGTATAACTGACCTAATGCTGGTCGATTTGCATGCACATGTCCACACACATGTGGGAGCCTTCTAATACTATGTGGTATCAGAAAAGGAAGTAGATGGGGATGAGGAGTTTTTATCTTATTATCTTCATTAATTGCCCTCCACTCCTCAACTGTATTGTTTAGATAAGCTCTGAATCTTAATTATATGCCTCTTTTATTGCTGTGTTTCAGAGAACGACCAACAGCAGAAGCTTGTCTGTCTCACTCTTGGCTTCAGCAGGGAGACTTCCTCTTGTTGTATAGCCCTGAAGACAGTCCCAGTTCTTCTCCAACACATGATCTTATAAACAAGTGCACAGAAGAAAGAAATAATAATAGGCCCATGTGTAATGGCATGTGCAGTGAACAAGAAGATAAAGAGAATATTCCAGAAGACAGCAGTACCGTTTCCAAGCGATTTCGCTTTGATGACTCCTTGCCATACCCTCAAGAACTTCCAACAGACTTTGTATGTTAACAAAGGCACTCCTGCAGGTTATTTTGAACTGACTCAGATTTTGACCTACTCATGTGGCATGTCCTTTAAGATTGTGGCTTGTCCACTGCTCTGTTGTGGTTACCCTGGAAATGCACTTTTTGAGTTGATCTTGTGTTGACCCTTCTTTGTGCTGCCATTGCTGGCAATGGGTTTGGCTCGGAGGAATCTGGAGTCTTTGGCACCAGAAGTGGCTTGCCTTTGAAGGCAAGCAGATGGTTGAGTATACTTGCACTTTTTACATTGAAGTCCCAAACGTGGTATTTGGTGTGCTCAAAAATAAAACAGACAAACCTAGAAGAGGAATCCTTTGAATGCTAACTAACAAAGCATCAGTAAAGCACGTCCTAACCATGTTCTAAGCCAAAGAGTGATCTAATAATACTCTTGCATTTGTATTGCAACTAAAGCTATGTGAACTTGGCACAGCAGAGAAATGAGCCCTTTCGTTCCAGTCTAGCAGTACAGTCTCATGCTGTCATCTTTTGTTAAAAGATTCAAATCAGTGACTTAGTAGTATATAGCTGTACTGCAGTGAAGTCTTTCATTCACTGGCGCTCAAACGCTTAGGCTGGATTCCTGACTGGCAGCCCAGTTTTGTGCATGTTTACTCAGAATTTGAGCCTCATTGGGATGTACATAAAGAGTAAATGGAGATAGGGCTGCAGTCTTAGATCTTGTTCATGTGTGGGCATTTAGACCAATTTGCATTCCCTGGTTTATACCTAAGTTGGGAGAATGCATACTTAACTTCTTAGCCTTCCACTTTCTGCATGTACACATGATGTGGAAGAGGCTCAGAAGCATTTTTGGTATTGCACACAGAAATGTCATGAGCTATTTCCTTACCAAAATGTTTGGTCGTCCTTCTATGCCAGCAGGAGAATCTGTGCAATGCCGTATGTCAGTTAAGGGCAAGTTATATCTTGTGATGGTTTAAGTCTGAAAGCTCTTATTCATATCATCAAATCCAATTTTATTGAGTGAGATCACTCACAAAAGAGTGCAGAGTGACGTTTGTTTTAATTCATCTTCTCAGAATGATGATGACGTCACCGCATTAAGCTTCTATTTTACCAATATTTCCGTCCTAGTTGTCAGTTGAATCTGTTTCTCTTACTTACCAAAGATACAGTTGTACTAACAGGTGTATGCCTGTTTACTCAGAAGTAAATCCCATAGTGTTTAGTGGGGCTTGCTCAAGTAAGCATAAATAGATCTGCAGCCTAAAGCCATATTGCAACCAATATGTTAGCAGCACAGGTGAAGTGAAGGAAAGTATAGAAGAAAACATCACTGTTTTTGTGGCATTGTAAAAGCTAATCATTTCACAAATGTTTAGTCGTGAAGGTGTTCTACCAGTAATTAGCAGAGGGAGTGCCATTGATTTCCCAACATAATCACATAAATGATCTGTGGCTGATGCTGCAGGCAGTTGGGCATGTATGTATTATCAGGCCAAAGCAGATTCAAGTCCACATTCAGAAAATCTGTGCAAAATTTCAATACTGGAAGCCATAATTTCTTTAGAATTATCAGTTAAAGACTTTGTGAGGGGAGCAGGGAGATTACAAATTATTGCATCATAATTTCATTTTTCAAAGTGTTAATTTTAGGCTGTTTTAAAAAAAGAAAAAACAAAGTCCTGTTCCATAAATGCATTTTAATATGGAAGAAAGGTTAAGAGTTAAACTGCGTGCCACAATAATGGTTACACCAGCACTTTATAAAACAGAATACGTAGAAAAAGTATGTTTCCATTGTGGTATGTTTTTTAAAAAGTTTACATTTCTTTTTCTTTCTTCTAGTCTTAAAACTTAAAAAAATGAATAAGTCAATTTCTGTTTCTAGTCAATAGAGTGTTTCGGATTTTATAAACATGTATATGTATGTAAATTCAGGATATAACTTGAATCTGACAATTCTAAATGGTTCGGTATGTCTAATTTTGTAAGTTTTCTTTGTTTATGCATAAGTTTGTATATAATTTTACTGGAATTATAATTGTTCTTGGAGATCTTTGTTTTGTATTTAATACTAGTGGGCCTTTTGAAATGTTTCCTCTCTTCCATGAATAGTTTGAACTTATGATTCCACTAAAGATGTACTGCATTGCTAGTGCTGGAGAGAAAATGTAAAACAACTGTGCAACTTCTCAACCAGAACTTGATGCATCCAGACAACAACTTTCTCAGTAACTATATGTAAGAAGCAGTAATTCCCGTAGTAAAATTGATACCTTCCAATTGTAAACAACAATTTCACAGGCCCCAGGTAAAAGATCCTGGTTGTAAACACAGATTTCCTTGAGATGATTTCTGCTTATTAGATTGCAGAAAAAACAAATGTGTTCAGATACAGCATTTAGCACAGTGGTTCCCAACCTGTGGTCCGTGGACCACCAGTGGTCCTCAAGAACTAAAATATTGTCTGCAGCCTCACTGTTACTACACCATTGCAACAAGAGTGACTGGTCTTGCGAAACCCTCTTAAAGTGCCGAGGCAACAGGGATGTTGGGAGGGGAGAGGTTGACTACCCACAAAAGTGCGATAAGCCTCCTGACCGCTGCTTCTCCTCCTCCTCCCTTCCCCTGAGCAGAGCCATTCCATGTAGTGCCTGGAAGTGGGGGCGCCTTGATGTCATTGTTTTTAGGCCTGTTACTGGAGTTATTTGAGATGCTGGTTCAGAAAATTGCATTGAATAAATTATATCAGCTCTAGATTATTAAATATGGTTTTCTGTGGGTTAGCAGATGGCGACTACTGGATGGCATATGTTCTGTATCAGAAACTACAGCTAATGTGGTTTATCCAATGAAATTTTCTGAATCAGCACCCCAAATAACCAAACCAAATCTGAAGTGACCAAAAACTGATTCATAACCCTTTCGGTACTAATGTTGGAGAGTGGTTAAAGTCGTCCCTGGTCAAAAATAGGTTGGGAACCACTGATTTAGTACGTGTCTGGAGTGGAATGAATGATAAATCCTAGCAAAGGCAGGTGCCCAGATATGCTATGCAGAGCTTCAATTAGGTGTGGACATAATATAAGCAACAGCCAAATCATTTTATGTGTTTACCAGCTCATGTAAACACTGCCACAGATTCCACGTTCAACTTAACAGAAGCTTCTTCCATCGAGTAATTTCTCCTGATGGAGGAGGAAGTTGATTGTCAAGTAGGCCATGTCAGAGTTACAAGTATGACTGTATTACTTCTCCATTCACATGCATCACTACTCAGATCCATTCCTCGTTCATGATTACAAGTTTAAAACATGCAGGTTCATAATATGGTTGAATATTGCTTTCCCAATGTCCTTACCTATGCCAACTTGCACTGAAATCTATACTTGCCAGATGTTCAAGAGAAATGCCAGCTGTGCAAACATGCAACTAGAATAAGTAGATTCCCAACTCCACGTGGGAGGGAAGTGTTGAACAAATCTCAAATGCAAAGCTACATGTCTATTTAGGCTAAACTTATTGTAGGATTTTGGATACCAACATTCAAGCCAGAAACCTGTTAGAATACCATGTTAGGCTGAAGGTAATTGAACAAATAGCTCCACTTTTTCAGAGGCTGTGTAAAAGCAGTTCCTGGTACAGCTGATAATTCTGCTTTGCTTGGTGTGTACACATCTGTGTGTGTAAAGGGCAAAGTAAATGCCTTGGCGACTTCCCACTGTCACTGAATTTGTGGGAGCTTTTTTAGTTGGTATCAGCTGAAATACTGAGCGAGGGCTCTCCCACAAGGAAAACATCTTTGAATCTTGTCTCTCACATTTTAACTTCTCAAGTAGGGAGCTAAGGGTCTGTATCTGGACAGAGACACTCAAGCTCCTTGATACAATTGAGCAGCTTTGAGAGGCAGCATCAATACACTGGCATAGGTTGATGGTATGCTAAAAGCATATTGGACTTTGGGCTTAAAACGGTTCCTCTGGAAAAAAAGAAATTTAAGTGGTGTGCATGGATCCATATACAATACAGTCCCACATCATTGAGAGATGTTTTGGGCTTTGATTCGTGAAACCATGGATGAAAGTGAAATTTGTGAATGGGATGAAAGATGGGGGTATAGAGAAAAGGGTGCCGCTTGTTCAGGAGGCCCTAAATCAGTGGTTCTCAACCAGTGGGTCCCCAGATGTTTTGGCCTTCAACTCCCTGAAATCCTAACAGCTGGTAAACTGTCTGGGATTTTTGGGAGTTGTAGGCCAAAACACCTGGGGACCCACAGGTAGAGAACCACTGTCCTAAATGAACCTGTGGGCAAGTGAAGTCTTGTATATTTGTTCTGCAGATATGGAGGTTGTACTGTGTTACAAATGGGGTGTTTTCATGGAAAACAAAGGATTACCACAGTCACTCTAGATATTATCTCTATATCGCAACATTTCAGTACAATGGGGTAGAAGCTCCATTAATAATAATAATAATAGTAATGTTAATAATAATAATAATAATAATAATAATAATAATAATACTTTATTTATACCCTGCCACCATCTCCCCACAGGGACTCGGGGCGGATTACATGAGGCCAAGCCTGACAACACATCAATAAAACAAAAGCAATAAGCAAATAAAACAATACAATTAATATAAATCACATACAAGAAATAACACAAGGATTTAAAAACCTATGGCCGGGCCAAATGTAATAGTTTAAAATTAAAATTATTGCTCCTCTAAAGCAGTGGTTCCCAACCTGTGGTCCTTCAGGTGTTTTGGACTTTAGCTGTTAGGATTTGTGGGAGCTGTAGTCCACAAGACCTGGAGAACCAAAGGTTGGGAACCCCTGCTTATACACTACTGGGCATTCCTTTAAGAATCATCCAAACAAGATGAAAGGATGCAGATGGAACCTTGAAAAGCCAGCATTTTCTTGACAGGCTCTATATTGACTGGACATCTATAGAAAATCCCTTATAATTATACTGGAATTTGAACATATATGCATTTGAATATTGATGGTATTAAATGCACCAGATAGTAATTTTAACTTTTTTTGTTTCATTTTGGCAAAAACATATTCTCAAAAAAGATCTCTAAAAAATCATATCTGTTATAAAACCCTATCAGTGTTTTGAATTTATAGCTTGTTTCATAACAATAACTGGACTTTGATCATGAAAAAGACAGTTTGGCAGCCTCTCTCCTCCATGTGGGCGATCTTAAACCATTAAAAATATGGGAAGGCACTCCCATTTTAATTGGCAGGATCCTAGTTTCTGACCACAGTTGAACCACTTGGAGTGTTTTGGAGGGCATAGTTTTAAGTGCTTTCCAAAGATTTTGCTGCATTTCAACTTGGCACATTTGGAGTAGCAGTCAGATTTTGAAGGCCAATCCAACCCTTTTGTTTCTTCAAAACAGCAAGATTGTTTTTGTATGTTCTGCTTTTAGTTGTTTAGAATGAGGCTGACACTTTGAGTTACTGGCTCCAGAGGAATATATGTCCAAACAGCAAGATGGTCTTGTTTAACTTGTTGATCATTCACATGCCAATTGCAGTGCATTTACTTTGAGATGAGATCTTGTGTGGTAAGCATAATGGAGCAAAAGACATCCACCCTTGAGGAGGATTTGAATTTAAAATTTGTACTGCCAGCATCCAACCACATCAAAAAGCAATGGATGTGGTCTATAGCAGCAAGAAAGATGGTAATAGGCCAACAGAAGGTCAGAAAATTATTACAGTTAAGAGTGCATCCTCACCCAGGTTGAATGGTGTAATGCGGTTGGAAGAGATAGTATATGCCTTAAGTTCACTGCCCAAAAGTCACACCAGCTCTTGGCTTAGTAGCTCACTTACAGTGCATATTTCTGCAGTTTCCCCTTCCACCTGCTTCCTTTGCATGGCTTGGGGGAAAGCCCAGTGAAGTCAGGCAAAGTTGATGAACTTCGTCAAGCAGAACAAACTCGTTCAAACATTATTTTAAAAACATTAGCTGTAGGCCAGTGTTTAAGTTTTACAGAGCCTTTTCTACCAGTCTGTTAATGTCTTAAACATAAGCAATCTGTTGGTTCCCTCCAAAGTAATTCCAGTTGTGGTCAGAAACTAGAAACCTTCTAATTAAAACAGGAGTGTCCTCCCATATTATTAAATGTTGCCTGAGTAGCGGACACCTCACCCATCATTTATAATTCTCTTAGAAAGGTACTACCAGGAAGATGATAGATCAGCCATTTGTAGTGAACTCCTGTGGTGGCAGGACTGTAACCGAGTGAGAAACAGAAGTCACAGTGGGTTGCTGTGAGTTTTCCGAGCTGTATGGCCATAATAATAATAATAATAATAAACCTTCATTTATACCCCACTACCATCTCCTGGAGGACTCGGTGCAGCTTAAAAGAGACCGAGCCTGATTACATCAATAAAACAACGCAGCAATATAGACAATAAAAACTCATAAACAAAGCAATAAACAATAACAATAACACCATGTTACAAAAGCATTCTCTCCTGACGTTTCACCCACATCTCTGGCAGGCATCCGCAGAGGTTGAGGGGTCTGCTGGAAACCGGGCATGTGAGGTTTATATATCTGGAATAATGTCCACAGTAGGAGAAAGAACTCTTGTCTGCTTGAGGCAAGTGTGAATGTTGCAATTGGCCACCTTGCTTAGCATTTAATGGCCATGTAGCTTCAAAGCCTGGCTGATTGCTGCCTGGGGAATCCTTTGTTGGGAGGTGTTAGCTGGCTCTAATTGATTCAGGTCATTAAATGCTAATAATTTAGCATTAAATACTAATCAAGGTGGCGAATTGCAACATTCACACTTGCCTCAAGCAGACAAGTTCTTTCTCCTACTCTGGGCATTCCACAGATATATAAAGTTCACTTGCCTAGTTTCCAACAGACCTCACAACCTCTGAGAATGCCTGCCATAGATGTGGGTGAAACATCAGGAGAGAATGCTACTGGAATATGACCCTACAGCCTGGAAAACTCACAGCATCCCAGTGACTCCACCCATGAAACCCATGAAAGCCTTCAACAACACCAAAG